CAAAAAAAAAGACCTACAGAATGGCAGAAAATACTCGCAAAAACTGGGACAAAGGATTAATCTCCAAAAGTTACTAACAGCTCATGCAGATATTAAAAAAAAAAAAAAATCCAATCAAAAACTGGGCAGAAGACCTAAATAGATAAATCTCAAAAAAAAAAAAAAACAGATGGACAAGAAGCACATGAAAAGATGCCCAACATCACTAATTATTAGAGAAATGCAAATCAAAACTACTATACCTCACCTCACACTGGTCAGTAAGGTCATGATCAAAAAGTCTACAAATAACAAATGCTGAAAAGGGTGTGGAGAAAAAGGAACCCTCCAACACTGTTAGTAGGAAAGTAAATTGGTACAGCTACTATAGAGAACAGAATGAAGTTTCCTGAAGAAACTAAAAACAGAGGTACCATATGATCCATCAATCCCACCTCTGGCCATATATGCAGAGAAAAACATGGTTCAGAAGGATTCATGCACTCCAATATTCACTGCAGCACTGTTTACAATAGGCAAGACATAGAAGCAACCTAAATGTCCCATCAACAAATGAATTGATAAAGAAGATGTGATACATACACACAATGGAATATTACTCAGCCATTAAAAAGGATGAAATAATGCCATTTGCAGCAGCAAGAATGAACTTGGAGATTATCATACTAAGTGAAGAATGTCAGAGAAAGAGAAATATATGATTTTACTTATACATGGAATCTAAAAAATATATATATACAAATAAACTTATTCATAAAACAGAAAGACTCACAGTCTTAGAGAACTTAGGTTACCAGAGGGGAAAGTGAAGAGAAGGAATAGATTGGGAGTTTAGGACATGTATACACTGATATATTTAAAACAGATAACAAGGACTTACTGTATAGTACAGGGAACTCTGTAATAACCTAAATGGGAAAAGAACTTGGAAAAGAATACATGTATATGCACAACTGAATCACTTTGCTATACACCTGAAAATAACAACATTGTTAATTATCTGTATACCAATATAAAATAAAAATTTTATAGTGCACCTTGGAAATACTATACATGGTTTCTATGAGAGCAAAAGAACTTGTAAGAACTCAAGACGGTATATACAAAAGAGCATTTCTCATTATGGGATCCCTGGAACACTGCAGAACTGTTTCTGCATTTCGAAGGGAAAACACTAGTGAAATTTATATTTGCAGCTACAAGAAAAAATTAAATGCATCAATAGTTCAGAAGGATGATACTCAAAGTGTATATTGATACAGAGGCAGCACAACTAACCAGCCCATATATACTCTTTTCAGTAAGTGGATTTTGCTACATATCTTGTCAAAATTTCAAATTTTTCTGTAATGATATTTTTTGGTTTTATAGACAGTTGAGGCATATGTATAACAGTTTAAGATATATGTATATTCATTGCTGAAAATAGTTTGCTATGATTTTGCAGAAAAATACTATTAAATAAATGATAACTGAAAAACAAAAGAAAACTTTCCATGGCACCCAACACCCCCATGCCAAACGCAAAACCCCTTGCACACTTCAAACAGCCATGTGGTCCCTGCTTCACTCTCCCTCGTTTGCAACCACTCTGTTTGCTCAAACCTAAAGCCAGAAAAAAACAAAGGCAATTTTCATTTAACAAGCTGTGTTCACTTGCTTCCTGCCATTTGCAAAAGCTTGTTTCCTCTGCTCAGAACTCTCTTCCATCAAGGCTCCATCCACATGTACTTCCCCAGGAAGCCTTCCCTAGACTGGGCTGGGGAGTGTTCCCCAAGTTCTGGTCCTCCCCACCCCAGTGCATCATTCTGTATCACAATGGCATTTGATACCTCTCTCCCCAAGGAGGCCAGGCATCTGAGTGCAGGGGCAACATTGTTATTTAACCACGGTAGGCTTAGTTCCTAGCATATAGGGCCTAAAGTGATAAATGATTAAATTATTGGAAAGAACAAAGTCAAATTAGGATTTCTATCATAGTACTAACCCTTTGGGGACTTGGTATAGGGACTAACCTTCCTATACAGGTTAGATCAGAATTGGTCTAATAGAGAATACTAAAAATATATTTTTTAAAATTTCTAACTGCGTTCCTATTGAAGGTTAATTGGAATTTAAAACCTGAAAAAATGCCAATGCAAAAATAAGTTAGGTATGGATGAACCTTCCTTAAGTAAGATCATGCTTAAATGCAATGTAGGGGAACGGTATGATTCAAAGAAATAAACCTTAATTCTACATTTAGGACAGATCATATTTCCAAACAAGCCTTCTCATAAGCTTTCTCTTACTGAAGCCAAACAACGTAAACTGCTACAAACAGAAATAATACCCACAAAAAGAGAATTATCTATGTTAAAGAAGCATCTGTTTAAAATTCTCAGAGTCAACAAACATTAAGAACTTTGAGTTCTGATAAACAGTGAAGAGAAGATCATTTGTGCTCAGGTCTGACCAAGGACCTGGTAAAGAATTGACCAGTCACCTTGCTCCCAGATCTTTGTTTCCTCCACCACAACAAACCACTTTCCAAAGTTTCTAAATGTACTCTAGGGTATGAAAGCCACTCAGATTAGGGTTAGCTTTTCAAACTGGCCTGATTATACCTGAGGATGTGAGGTCTAATCCTCTTAAAGTCAAGTGTCAATTTGTCTTATTCTCTTTCAAAAATCTTTCTACTGATTTCAGAAATTCAGACTGATTCAGTAACATTTAAAGGGTCAAAGTTTTGAAGTCAGGACCAGTGACTGTCTGTGTTCCTGTCATTTCATGCCTAGTATCTTGTAGATTCCTCTAATAATAATGGGAAAGGGCTCACATTCTAACTTGACTATAGATGCTACAGACATTTCAGGAGAAAGATTTCCTGTATAGGTTAGTATTAAGCAAGGATCAAATTCAGTTGACTGTCTGGCTAGGCAAGTTAAGTGAGTTAAATAGGCTGGGTCACAGAAGAGACAGAATAAGAGGAATACTTCAATTCTCCCTTCAAGCCATCTCACACAGGGTCTAAAGGACAGAAAACCCACACTCCACCTAAAAGGCAGCCAGCACTCTATCACCACTCGACCAAGTGCTGGAAACAAGGGCCTACTATTTAACAGGTCTGCCTTTCAAAGAGAATCTCTAAATCAAATATATGTGAAACCTAATTTAAAATAGTGGCAATAATTTTTTAAAATCATCATCAGCCCTCTCTACCCAATAAGAAAAAAAATCCAGAAGCAACCATTAGCAATCTTATATTTTGATTCCGGTATCAGTTATGGAATCAAAATACCAGTTCTATCATTTTCTAGCACTTCATAGCTTCGGTACATGAAGCTTCTAAACTTCAATGTCCTCATCTGAAAAACAGGATCATGAACGTGAAACATAACGCTTATTAAAGACTTAAAAACAATTCCCAACACAGAGTTATCAACTAAATAGAGTTTCCTATAAGTAAAGAGTGGATCTCACTACCAGTAAATTATCTGCTGTGGTCTTCAAAGAACCCAATTGAAGAGCTCAAGAGGGCAGAATTCTCAGGAGATTTAGCCCCTTTCAAATTTTGATCACTGAATACAGGGTATTGAAGTCATTAGAAACTAGATAGAAACAGCAATAAAGAATTCCTAGCAATAGACAATGAGCTGGAAGTGGCTCTTCTAATTAAGAGGTCTAATAACTGTCACCAGTTAATGGCCAGAAAAAGTGAGTAAAGTATACATGGAGAGGTATATGTCTCAGGAAAAACAGCGGCAGCTTTTAAAGCAAGCTTTTAAATCAGAGGGTTTTAGGGTAAGTTTTTCAGCTTAAACAAACTTCTCATCACATTATAGACTCTTATCTGTTAAACAGGTCTACTAGTTTTCACAGTTTTTATTACCAAAATACAAGTTGGTGTGCCCTACGCCCAGGGGGGCCAAACAATACCGAAACGCTGGAGTATGGTACCGAGAAAGGTTCACTGAGGGCCACGCAAGGAGGTGGTTGGCTCATGCCTCAAAACACCCAAACTCCCCAAAAGCCTGCAGCAAAGCCCTTTTCTAGGAAAGCTGAGGGAGGAGAATGGTCAATTGCTGTGAACTTCTTGTGTCAGATCCTTTGTTCTTGAAGTCAGGTCATGGTCAGGTAAATGTTACATTAAACAAAAGTTATTCCCTGTTCTGACAAGAAAGGACCAGGTCCCAGGTACAACTTTCACCCTCCGAGGTCTGGGTTCTGGCTGAGAGGAGGCAGAGCTTAGTTTGTGGCTCCCTCAGGGCCAGGTCCCAAGACTCCCGATCATCACTGAGGGAGCCAGGCACCCAGGACACAGCTGGCCCTCACGCTCCTCAGGCCACCCGTATGGCAGGAATAGGTCCCAAAAATTGTGACCCAGACTGACGGCCGCTGCCATTTGGTCACAGAGACAGGGATAGGGGAGAAGTTCATCACCTCCTCAAGGTCTGGGCCAGGCCAGTGGCCAGCCTTGGTGAGGGCTCTGGAGCCCTGCAGGACACAGACAACTCCTAGCCGGTTCCCTGGGCCCCTCAGCTCACTCACTGGGCTGAGGGTGGGTGAGCTGGAGGCCCCCAGAGAAAAGGCCAGGATCTTTCTCTTACCTCACTCTCCACCTGACAACCACCACTTCTGCCACTGACAGTCGCTCATTGGCAGTTGGTTGCCTGGGGGATGGGCCCACTGCAGCACCAATCAATGGCTGAGCAGACCACTAACGGTCACTCACTGACAGTTGGTCGCTTGGGGGAGGGGCCCACCAACAGTACATACCAATGGCTGAGCAGGACCACTAATAAGTCTCATGGTCACCATTGCCTGGACAGGGTGCAAGGCTATGGCAGCAGGCACCAACAGCAACAGCGGGCTAAGGGCCGTGCAGCCTGTAGCCTGCTACATTTTAAGCAAATTCTAAACAATACCAACCACAATATTAGGAAGAGTCTGTTAAACAAAGAATCGCTTTATTAATACAAACTACTAATACATACCAAAACCATAAAGTGCTAAGAAATTTAAATATCTAAGTCACAGCAAACAGGTGGCAATTCAACATCCAGAGTGGACAGAATGCTTGAGGGAGACTGCAACAGATCTAGAAAACAGGAATTTCTTATTCAGTATCTGAAAATCCACATGTCCATCAACACACACATTAGTTTCACTTTAATCATGAACTCGAACTCTTATTTTTCCCTTTGTCTCATGAATTACCCCTGCCCCACCTACATACATACACATACACCTTCTCACTTATTTCTTGGAATGCGGCTATGGTCCCAGAATTAACCTTCATTATGAAATAAATCATAGAAGTACCCCAAATTCTATCATTCTTAGAGACCCAAGTAACTACCAACAATTATCACTAGTGTAATCTGGCAAATAATGTAAGTTATTCCATCAGATATAATAGAAAACATGCCGATAATGGCTTTTGACCACCAGTCTGAACCAAGACGTAAAACCTCCTGCTATTGTGTGGGTCTTATCCTACATGAGCTTTGGATTAACTTGGAACTCTCATTTCAAGCAAGTTTATTTTACATCAATTTTTAATATAAAAAGTTATATACTAAATTTCACCTTGTTTTGCTTGTATGTAAGACTGTCCAGATTCCAGAATGACTTAATTCTATTGGGCATTTGCAACTAAAAAACAGTACCAGTTGAGAACAGTTTTCATTACCCTGAAACCTTATCCCTTCAGTCTCAAGTATAGACATTACCAGCCTTCTGCACAACCCTACCCTCACAGTAACGGAAGTATTATGAGAGAGACTGTTTACAGCCCTTCTAGAAGGGCACTTGTTCACTTACTAGGCTCCCACAGCGGAGGCGGCATCTTCAGAGGCGAAGGCGGGCCCACATGTAACAGCTGCTCAAGCTCCCTCTCCTCATCAAGGATCGTGAGAGGCACTCCAGTCAAGGGGAGGTGTGCGATCTGGTGCTCCTCAGGCAGGTCAAAACTCTCAAAATCTGCCACAGAAAGCACTCTGTCAGGGCAGCAGTTCTCAGGGTGGTGAGTGGCACCCTGCCAGTCTAAGACCCTTTCATGGGGCCCAGGAGATCAAACTGTTTTCATAATAACACTAACACCTTTTCCCACTGTGCTGATATCTGGTGGTCCAAAAGCAACGGAGGATAAAACTTCTGTGCCTTAGCACAAATCAAGGCAGTGGCAATAAATTATATTTAGTATATTTCTCACTACCCTTTACTGGTATTAAAAAAACATGCCTGTTTCACATATCACTTTACCATATGCAATAAAAAAGTATTAATTTTATGAGCTCTCAACCCTTGAAAACATGTCTTTTTAGTATCCTGTATAAGTTGTGAAGTATGCCATTCAACAGTTCTATCATATACTGAAGTACCATGGTGTTTTCCAAGAAAAACGATATGTGCAATTATTTGACTTGCAAGCTAAACTACAGGTGTTACTTCTGGACACCGTTTACTATAAAGAACTAAAAAACAAACTTTGGTAATTCGGACTTGGATATGTGTTGCACATTTTCTCCAAGCAACGAAAGTCTACCAGTTCAAAAGAAGCAGTATTTGTTTTCAATGATAAAATCCAAAGTTTCAAGGGGAAAAAAAAAACCCCAAAATTTCAAAAAACTTATCTGCAATTATTAGCTTGACAGCTTCCTAGTACTGAAGACTTTTCTGATGAGGTCAGTGGTGAGCATTAATGAGTGTGCTTTTGACATGCATAAAGAAATATTTCAACTTGTGGATGACCTACATTTCCCAGCAAACCAGTATTTCTAAATGATCAATGGTGATAAATGCAGAATAAAAGATACATTCAAAGTGCAAAACAGACCAATGGATTTAAGTGTCAGAGAATAATACAACACTTACTGAAATGGTTTCAGATTCTACATTGCAACTATGCATACAGAAGCAGCCACAAGTTGAATTTTAGTGTAATAGCAAAGAAAACTATCTATACTTATCTGAAAAGACTTAAAATGCTTCTCTTTTCCTAACCATGGCTGCAAAAGGCCAGATTTTCTTCATATACGTCAACCAAAAACAGATTCCAACAGACGGAATGCACAATCCCATGTGAATCTAGCTGTTTTATGTTAAGCCAGATTAAGCAAATTTTCAAAAACATAAACCCACGCCACTCTTCTCATTAAATTTTGTTATGTATGTTAATGTAATGGGTTTCTTGTATTTTAACAAATTAACACGTTTTAACTTCTCAATTTTAATTTAAAATATAGGATATATAAACAACAAGCAAAAGTTCTTTGGGGTCTTCACTAATTTTTAAGAGTGTAAAAGTCCCAAAACAAATTTAAGAAACAGTATATGTGACTACTTAATTTAAACCACTGAATTGTAAAAAAAAAAAAAAAAAAAAAACAGACAAAAGACCCCAGAGGAAATAAGTCTGCAACACACAGGGTTAATTACCTTTATCCAGAGAGTTCTTTACACACACAGACATGAAGTGTAAGAAAGTCACAAAAAATCAAGAGAAAACAAAGATACAAACAGAAAATTTAAAACTGTAAATGACCAATAGTCAAATATGCTCAGGCACATTCACATACCACAATTTTAAATAATAAAATATCAGTTATCTTTCTGATAATTTTAAAACATTTGCAGTTAGAGAACAAGGGGAAAGCGGCCATCCTCATCCACTGAAAGTGGTTTCAATAACTTATGCTATTTTGGAAGGCAGTTTAGCAATATCTCTTTCCCCCCAACACAGCTATTGTACATAGTCCTCTTTCCTGGCCAATATGCTTAAAGTGTGAAAGTGTTAGTCGCTCAGTCGTGTCCAACTCTTTGCAACCTCATGGACTGTGGCCTACCAGGTTCCTCCATTCATGCGGGCATTCTTCAGGCAAGAATATTGAGTGGGTTTCCATGCCTTTCTCCAGGGAATCTTCCCAACCCAGGACTGAACCCAGGTTGCCCGCATTGCAGGCAGATTCTTTACCATTTGAGTTACCTGGGAAGCCCTCAATATGCATAAATCTACCTCATTTTCCTGAATGGTAATGATGAGATGCACCACATTTTATCAAAACTTAATCACACAGCTTTGAGACCCAGTAACTCTTCTTGGCATTTACTCTCTAAGTATACTCACACACTCTCAACAATAATGGCAGAATTGTTTTGTAATATATATAAAAGCCAGAAACAGCCCAGATGTATACTAGTGGAATAAGTAAATGCTCTTTGGATCAAAAGGCAAAAAGCCCAGCTCAGAAATCTCAAAGAGCCCGTGTGATTTGACCAACCCCCTCACCGGTGTCCTCCTTCACCCTGCTTTTCAGTTTTCCAGAACCTCTCCAGTCCTTCTTTCTGCCTCAACATCTTCTGTCTGTTGCAGTGGGGGTGCCCAGCCCTACCACTTCTCCGCCCAACTATCTCCCTACATCCTTCAAGCCTCCACTGGTTGTCACTCTCTGAGAAACACTTCCCTGCTCCTCCAGGCTAGGTTTAGTCCCCACTAACAAGCCCTGTTTTTCTCCTTGGCTCACACTCAAAGTGAAAGGATTTGTTCAGTGTCTGACCTTCCCTCCAAATCTTGGGCTTCCTCAGGGTGAGGCCTGCCTTGTTAACCACTACATCCTAAGCCAATAGCGCCTGGCATACAGTCTACTCTCCTCAATGTGAGTACATTAAAGCTTGAAAAAAGCCGATTCTATAATAGAAAATATTTCAGATACATGTAGGAGGTTGAAGACGTCTAAAAGCACATGTTCTCACTGGCTATGTGGATTTTTCAGGCTTGTTTTTTATTGTTCAACTTGACATCAAGTTCACTTTCTAAAAGTGGGCTTGCTAGGAAGGCTGTCTGCTAACACTGAACAAGTAATCCCCCCCCATTTGGTTTTAGCTTTTGAGGACAAGAATTATGTTCTCCCATCTTTGCTCTGATTCCTCTTCTGACTTAAGATGATGCCTTAAAAATAAATCCACAAGTTATTTGTCCAAAGCACCCCAGATTCAGACAGCCTTGTTATAGTTTTAGATCACATGTCATATTCAGAGCCATATCAAGTTACAGTTGAATTGGATACTAAGAGAAACTGAAAGCTAAAGCATTTGGATAATACCAAAAGATTACCTAATGGATCAAATGGAAAGAATTTTTCTATTTCTGGATAGGTGTCATCTGAGGCAGGAACTGAACTTTTTGCCTTAACAGTCTTCTCAGTAATCTAAAAGAAACCCAAGAAAACATCCATTAATAAGAGTGGAAGCCTTGTCAACTGATTAGTACAAAAGATTGGAGAGATTCTTCAAGACATGGGATTACTTCACCACATTTTAAATTTGTCTTCAATTTCTAAGAAACCATAATCCCTCATTCTCAAAATCACACACAAATACAATTCAGCAATCAATTCTAGTATCATGGCTCAAAAGGCTGAAATAAAAGTATTATCACCTGTTAGCATAAATTATCAAAATGCAGAGCAGAGTCTGTTTTTAGTTGATAAGTCGTGTTCAACTCTTACAATCCCATGGACTATGTAGCCCACCAAGTTTCTTTGTCCGTTAAGATTTCCCATGCAAAAAAATACTGGAGTGGGTTGCCATTTCCTTGTCCAAGGGATCTTCTCCACCCAGAGATGGAACCTGAGTCTCCTGCATTGCAGGCGGATTCTTTACTACTGAGTCACCAGGGAAGCCCCAGAGTAGTTAATTCAGAGCTAATTGACTCAATCACCCAAACTAACCTAACAGAAAAGAAAAAGGGCATAAATCACCCAGAATAGAAACTAATCTTGGAAGCCATTTTTGGCTTTTGGAAATGTGATTTTCCATCTGTGTTACCTAAATTATTGGGTTAATATTAAAAACCAATTTGTGTTCCTCAAATACACACACTGAGTAAGAGACAGTCAAAGACAGTCAAGGACTTTAGAGGCCGGCCGTGGATAATTCTCTAGTCTGGAACTGGTAGGCAGTCCATGATGGTGGTGGGCCAAGATGGAAGCTTGTAGAGTCTTGATTTATTATTACATAACATGTGCATGCCTAGAGGAAATTACTAGGACAAGGCTTCCCACGTTTCAGTTCTGTCACGTTCTCATCATTTTTGCTATATCTTTGCAATACCTACACTTAGCATTTCTCTTACTCAACTCAGTTTTTTTTAAAAAAAGACATCTTTATCCTAAAACCACATGTAACAGTTTGACATCAAATATACTAGTTGTTTTTTTCCTAATACACACTCAAAAAATTACTGAAAGGCAGTGCTAATTCACATGCTAAAGTTATCTTTCACAGCCAAGTCCTCTCAGTCTGGGATGCACTGACCTAGAGTTTGTAAACACATGTACAAAGGTCAACATGCTACCAAGTTATAACCTACAAAGCTAGTGCTTGCTCTGAAAGGAGGGGAAGAGGATGGCAGCACCTGAGCTGTTATATTAGCATCAAGACCTCTTGCAAAGTACCCTCCCTCACAGTACTCAGTCTAAGACAATTGTTAAAAACAGGTGAGGCAAAAATATTAACAGCTGCTCCTGCGATCTCAAGGTACAGGGGAAGTCCATAAAGACTGTATGATGATTCTCTTCTGTTAATCTACTTTGCTAGTCTCTATTTCCTTCCATTCACAGAGGAGAAGGTCAGGTAAGATGCTAGTAATCATTTTAAGAGTCAAAGTGCTGAAGTCTTTAATTATAGCCAACACTTACCTTTTTGGTCGAGAAAGTTGTCTGTTTCTGTTTGAGCGGTCCATTCGTCTTAATTGATTTTTCTGTAGCTCTGTTGACAGTTCCCAAAGCCTTTCTGGCAGTTTTTGGTAAAGCTGGTGGAGCATCAAATATTTTGCCAACACGTGGTGTTGAAACCTGAGATTTCCCATTTAAAGCTTTGATTGCTAAAGAAAAAGTCATACTGTAAGATCATTCCAGCAGTAAACACCTGTGCAACTTGAAAGCTGACTGTGCCTATAAACTTGGCCTAATTCTCACAGCCAAACTTAACCCCCATTTTTGACAGTGGCATGGTCCTATGCCTAACAGCACTTCAGTTCACTACTCTCTTACATAATCTCTTTAAGATACTGAACATGAGGGCTTCTCTGGTTTCTCAGTAGTAAAGAATCTGCCTGCCAACGCAGGAGACGGGTGTGATCCCTGACCCAGGAACCCCGACATGCTACAAAGCAACTAAGTCCATGTGCCACAAATATTGAGCCTGTGCTCTGGAGCCACAACTACTGAGCCCATGTGTCTCAACTGCTGAAGTCAGCATCCCCTAGAACCCAGGCTCTGCAACAATGCAAGCTACTGCAATCAGAAGCCTGGGCAACACAAATAGAAAGTATCCCCCACTCATCGCACCTAGAGAAAAGGCCAGGCAGCAACAAAGACCCAGCACATCCAAAAATAAATAAATAATTTTTTTAAAAAAAGATACTGAACATGAAGAGACCCATAAGTACTTGGCAGTAACAGTATTGGGTAAACTCGACTCCAACTGGGCTTCCCAGGTGGCGCTCCTGGTAAAGAACCCGCCTGGCAATACAGGAGATTTAAGAGACTCCGGTTTAATCCCTGGGTCATAAAGATTCCCTGGAGAAGGGCATGGCGACCCATGCCAGTATTCTTGCCTGGAGAATTCCAGGGACAGAAGAGCCTGGCCGGCTACATAGTCCATAGGGCCGCAAAAAGTAGGAGACGACTGAAGCGACTTAGCACGCACGACTCCAACTGCCCACAAAGTATATTTGGGCCTCCCCCAGCTCCAAGCCACACCCACCACTGATTCACAATACCTGTGTACCTGATAGCCGCCTGTATACTTACAAGGTACAGACCCCAGCTTCAGCCCTTCCTTAGGAGCCACATGGATGCCTGGTTCTCCATTTTCCTTATCAACATAGATCAGAGTAGCCATTCTGGATCAACTAGAGGTGTGAAACACTCATTAAATCTTGGGAGTTAGGAAGATGAAAGAAGCTAAAGTGTAGCACTGACCCAACTTTCTACCCTGGGGACGTCTACGCAAAAACAAGAGCTAAGCAAGGGTAGAAGCCGGATCTTGAGCCAACAAGCATTTCATCCAGTTCTTAAATCTTGACGCCTACCTCAGGGGCCCTAAGTTCCTGAAAAGCTGGCGGTCTGGGACTGGCACAGGCCCTGGTACTCATTGAAACCAAACTGCCGTGGGTCGCGCACGCAGCTCAAGACCGTGGCTCGAGCCGGGTGAGCGCGTCTGACGTTCCAGGGAAGTCCCAGCCCCCAAACCCCAGGCCCCGGCTCCCAGACACCCGGACCCCGGTTCCCAGGCCCCAGAGCCCCCACACATAAAGCCTACTCCCGCTTCCTACGCCGCTGGACCGTGCGTGCCCGCCCAACCACTCGGTACCGCTCGGTTCACCCACGTTCGGAGTAACAGCCAAACTCTCGCAAGACACGGCTCCAGCGGCCGCGCCAGACTCCGCGTTTAAACCACAACTTACGTTCCTATTGGTTCATCCATCCAGGAGGCGGGACAGAGACGGGGCGGAGGCTCCGGAAGAACCAATGGGAGGAACCTACGCTCCCTGGGCTCCGCCCTGAAAGCTTTTCCCCGCAAGTTCGTCGTTTGTTCCCCGGGAGGAAAAAAAAATCAAACCCGCTCACAACTTGGTCGTGGATGTCTATTAGTGGTTGTTTTTTAATCTCCTCCCCCACCCCAGAGAGATAGAGAAGAATAAATACGGTCTTTAATTCCAAAAAAGTTATTATTAATGTTATAACGATACAGAGTTGGCTTTTGCAATTTTCTGTTTCTTTTTCTCCTGAGACACTTTGGTGTGTCCAAAGTCAAAGTGAAAGTCGTTCAGTCATGTCCGACTCTTTGCGACCCCATGGACAATACAGTCCATGGAATTCTCCAGGCCAGGATAGCCTTTCCCTTCTCCAGGAGATATTCCCAAACCAGGGATCGAAACCAAGATCTCCCTCATTTTGAATTGATTCCTTTACCTTGTTTAATATATTTCCATTTACCATAGAAGGGCTTCCCTTGTGGCTCAGCTGGTAAAGAATCCGCCTGCAATGCAAGAGACCTGGGTTCGGTCCCTGGGTTGGGAAGATCCCCTGGAGGACGGAAAGGCTACCCACTCCAGTATCCTAGCCTGAAGAACCCGTATTAGATCTAGAGAATATTAGCAGAGCAAGATTGAAAATTAAGAAGAAATGAAAGTACAGATAGATAAAATGGCAAGTTTGTGTCATTCTGTTGTGCTTGTAATTAAAAATGGAGTGATTCTGAAACTAATACAATATTTTAAGTCAATTAGACTTCAATTTTTTTTTAAGTGTACTGATTTTTCATAATTGCAAGACTATCATCAGTATTTCAGGTTAGGATGCTGTCTCCATTATACAGATTCTGTTGTTCAGTTGCTCAGTCGTGTCTGACTCTGCAACCCTAGGAACAAAACGATCTAATGAGTACACAATTCTGAACTTAAAATTCTATCAGTTAATAAGGACTTTGTTTTTGGCTGCACTGCGCAGCATGCAGTATCTTAGTTCCCCAACCAGGGATGGAACCTGTGCCCTTTGCAGTGTAAAAGCAGAGTCTTATCCACTGGACTGCAAGGCAAGTACCAATATACTTACTTTAAACCTTTAACATCTCAACAATATATTCATCAAAGCTGGTGGGAAAGGAGAGAAGGGTAAACAAGAGAAAAACAACAGAGGAATTATAAAGACATATAAAATGAATTCCAATTTCCAAGACATGTGGAGAAATTTTGCTTTAAAAAGTTGGTGAACTTTTCCTTTCTATGGTGAGGTGAAGTGAAAATCTTTCAGTCCTGTCTGACTCTCTGCAACTCCATGAATAGTCCATGAAATTCTCCAGGCCAGAATACTGGAGTGGGTGGCCTTTCCCTCCTCCAGGGGATCTTCCCAACCCAGGGATTGAGCTCAGGTGTCCCGCATTGCAGGCAGACTCTTTACCAGCTGAGCCACAAGGGAAGCCCTTCTATGGTAAATGGAAATATATTAAACAAGATAAAGGAATCAATTCAAAAGACCAAGGATGATCTGTGCCATCCAAACTCTACTCCCAACAGGTCACCAGATACTTTTTAACTTAGCAGGTAAGTTGGGAGGGAGGAGTTAAGCCTACATTACTCTTTCACAAAAGCCTTAGCACTACCTGGCATAGATATAGTTCGAAATATATGCCAGTTCATTGTCCCTTCTTCCCTGGCATGTCAGGGCCAAAACATTGAATGACTCATTCATTCAATAAATATTTATTAAATGTTAGTCACTGTGCTAGACATCAAGAAGAAAAGAGGGGGAGAAAGTGCATATGTTTTTTACTCTTTCCATATCCTCTGTCTTTTATCCCTAGTTTATTAGTTCAGTTCAGTCACTCAGTCGTGTCCGACCCTTTGCGACCCCATGGACTGCAGTATGCCAGGTTTCCCTGCCTATCACCAACGCCCAGAGCTTGCTCAAACTCATGTCCATTGAGTCAGTGATGCCATCCAACCATCTCTGTCAAACACTTCTCCTCCTGCCTTCAACCTTTCCCAGCATCAGGATCTTTTCCAGTGAGTCAGTTCTTCGAATCAGGTGGCCAAATACTGGAGCTTCAGCTTCAGCATCAGTCTTTCCAATGAATATTCAGGACTGATTTCTTTTAGGATGGACTGGTTGGATCTCCTTGCTGTCCAAGGGACTCTCAAGAGTCTTCTCCAACACCACAGTTCAAGAGCATCAGTTCTTCAGCACTCAGTTTTGTTTATGGTCCAACTCTCACATCCATACATGACTACTAGAAAAACCATAGCTTTGACTAGACAGACCTTTGTAACCCTCCCATTATTTCCTCCCTATATCTCTTTCTAAGTGCCTCAGCTCTGAATTACATCATTAGCACACAAAAATATTCATATTGAAATCAAGTCTGCACAACACTGTCAAAAAAATTCAGTCAAGTAAATTTGAAGATCTAACTTGTTTTATTAAATGACTCAAGAATCAGACAGCCTCCCACCTAGCAATCAGAAGGGTGCTCCAAGGGGTTGTGCAAACAGAAATTTTTAGAGGAAAAAGGGTGGGGCATGGGAGCTATTAGTAAAATAAAAGAAAGGATTATTTATAAGCCAGAACCTCCTTGGAGGGGAGAAAAGAAGGAACAGCGAGGTTTTCACAGCTAATTGCCTCTTCTTCCACTGAGAGGCAGGGTGGGGGTGAGGAGATAATGGAAAGGGGCCATGTTCCAGATTACTTCTTCAATACTGACCAGGAAATTCCCAACTGGTTGATTGGATTACATTTCTGGTGATTGTATTTTGCAGTTGTGATTAGGTTAGTTATTAAACATAAATTTTGTATCAAGGGCTTTAGCACAAGTGAAGCCATTTTGGGCCTGTGGCTTTTCTCTTTAACAGCACCTACAGCTTCCAAGTGGGAATTTTTTACCTCCTGAGGTTTTTGGATGCAAAGTTTCTATCTCCCTAGGTTAAGTCTCCCCTTCTACAACAGGAAGCACTGTTTCCCAAGGTAACTGTAAAATGCCACAACCAATTCTTCTGTTTTCTTACTAATGATGCCCCAAACTCACTTTGCTATGCCATGTACTGTTACTGGAGATATCCAATTGCTAAACTACCCTCAGCTCACAACCGCACCAAGGTCCTAATTGATCCCAGTTTATCAAACAGCCTGATCCCTGCTTCCTCAGACCCTCCTCAGAATACTGCAGGGGGGAATCTGAACCTTACAAAAAGTTCTTCCCTCTTGTCCAGCACATTCCATAATTCCACTGGGAGATGTGTTCCCTGACTTGTGCCTGGTAGTTTTAACTAAACGGATCTTAACACTTTCAAACAAATTTCGGGAATTGTATTAAAGAGATAAAAATTAAGTGTGAGTGACTGATAGACTACTCACTTTTAGACTATTTTCTGACAACTTCCATTCCTTCAACTTTTGCCCTGTAAAATCAAAATGAATATTTACATTCCTATGCTCTATGCACTAAAATTTCTTAATAAGAGTATGATGAGATTCTTTTAGAGGCAAGGATGTCATTTTGACATCTGAAAGGAGCACATTTTGTTTTGAAAAATAAAATGTTACCAGAACAGATAGGATTTAAAGGGGGGAGGGGGGAAACTGTACTCCAAAATTATTATTTTCCAGTATTTTATTTCATATTCTTCTTTAAAGGAAGGTTGAGCTATCTATGACATTGTTTTTCCACAATGGAAATCGTTTTACAGTATTTTTTTCCTAATGGTAAAATACAATATCAACATCAGGGGTGAGGTGTCACAATTGCTGAACTGCCCTATGTCTTCAAAGCACCTAGTACACCCTTCATAGCGGCTTTCTAGAACTGTAAATTACTTAAATAATTTAGTCTTTCTCACTCTATATAATGTAAATTCGAGGAGAGGAAGACAATTTTGTTTTTACCTTGTCCCTAGCGTGTTACACTACCTGGCTACTAATACTGATTTTAACTGTTTTAACTTCACGCACCTCGTAGCGCTCTAGCGATGCTTACGCTATTGTCTGCTCTCCGTATGAAATTTGTTTTGTTTTATTTTACGTCGTAATACTCGTCGAGTCTAAGAGTTGAAAACTACGGAGCAGAAAAGCAGCTCCTCAAACCTAACCCATTCTACTGACCTAGAGCTAAAGGAACAGCTCGAGATCTCGCGAGACCAGTTTCGCTTGGGCACCCCCGCCCCCGCCCTGAGGCCCAAGTGCGCATGTGTGGGTCACCGGGAAAGTGCTGCAGTGGCTGCCGGGAGCGGGAGGAAGTCAGGAAGTAAACATTGGCGATCGTCTTCATTCTTGTCGAACTGTACTAGGGTCAGCAGCGTTGGGACAGGGTAAGGAAATCTTGTGAGAACTTGGAACGAGGAGGAGAGTGAAGGTGGAGAACTCGGGGAAGAGGGCCAGAGGCTCCTAATTCTTAGGAATATCCTCACGGGATTGATGAACGCCAGGTTGAGAAGGGAACGGGGACCGAGAACCAAGGAAGCAGCTGTCCTAGGCCTCTGTAGTGGTATTTGTGCCCAGTCAGACCAGGACTGTGTCTTTAGTGGTTTTTAAAGTAAGAATTGTAAGGTGCTATTGGAGCTGAACTGTGCTTGTAGTTCTTAAGCACTTGAAATGTTGGCCAATCTGAATACATGTAAAATCCGTATCAGATTTTAAAGAATTAATTTATTTTTTCCTGTGTTGAAATGAAAATGTGTTGGTAATTAGGCAAAATATTGCAAAAAACTAATTTTATCTGTTTCTTTTTGCTTTTTTAATATGCTTATGGAATATTTTAAATGACATATAGTGCTGGTGGTATATTTCTCTTGGACAGCGTTTCATTTGAGGGTTTTCAGCTTGGGTAGTGGGACATGATATGACCAAATCTGTGTTTGAAAAAAAATAACACTGCAGTGTGGAGAACTGATTGGCAGGAATCAGAAGAGACTAGTAGGGAAAAGGAATACACTCAGGTTATTGATAGAAGTAGATGAATTCGAGTGATATTCAGAAAGTGAAAATAACAGTACTTCCGTGATGAAATAGGTATGGGAATTAGCTGGAACACTTCTGAAAAGGAATGGATAGTGGTATCTTTCATCAAGAGAGGGAACAGTGTAAGAAGATTAGATTTCATAGAGAAAATTATGAATTTGAATTAAGACTAGTTGAGTTCAGATTTCTTTGAGACATCTAAGTGGAGGTACTTTGAAGTAAGCAATCGGACTGTGTTTATCTGAAGCTCAGAAAAAAGATCTGAAGTAGAGAAGTAAATTGGAGAGCCAGCAGTTGTATATCGTGGCTATTGAAACCTTGGAAATAGATGAACTTGTCCTCTGGTGGAGTTTAGAGTGATGAAGGAAGCCTAGAATTGAGCCTTGAGGAATCCAAAATTTAAGTAACTGGGCAGAAGTGGAAGAACTTACAAAGGATACAGGAGGAGCAGTGATAGGGGTACAAAAAAACCCAGGGGAATATGGTGTCATATCAGCCAAAGGATAAGAATATATCAAAAGAAAAGGGGGAGGAACAGAACTGAAAAATGTCCAGAGGACTTAGCACATTGCTAACTTAGAGGTATCTTTGGAGCAGGGAGGGGAATGATTGAGAAGGGCAGCAGATAATGTGGAAATAGAGATAATGAATATAGGTGATCTTAAAGCATCCAGTTTTTAAGAGGAACAGAGATAGGACCCTGTGTACTCATTAAGGATTAATGTGGTAGAAAACTTTGAGACATATATGTAGAGAAGAAATCAGGAATATATACATGAAAGAATGAGTCTCATGAAATTTTAAATGTATGTGCATGTCTCTCCACTTAACCAACAGAGTTGAAAGCACAACTGCAACAGTATATAAAGACTTTAGTGGAGTAGAAAGAGACCTTTCCCTTACAGATGCTATGAAAGAAAAAGAACATATGATACATTCTATATAACCCACAGTATGTGTTATTAGGGTGTACTTTTGATAGTTTCTCTGGTGAATTCAGGAAGGCCTAGTTTATTCTAATAGATATTTCTTCCTTTTCATGCAGGAGGCCAGATAACCATGTCAGCTGCAGCTGTGGATGCAGCTAATGCAGCCCCCTTGTCAGGGTCCAAAGAAATGAGTTTGGAAGAACCAAAGAAGATGACTAGAGAGGACTGGAGAAAGAAGAAGGAGCTTGAAGAACAGCGAAAATTGGGTAATGCCCCTGCAGAAGTTGATGAAGAAGGAAAGTAAGTACTTAAATTTTTTTGCAAGAACTGTTCATTCAGAATTCAAATTCATGTCTACTTAGTTTACCTATTTCTCATCCTTTGCTTTGACCGGAAACCATCTTTGCCATTTCCATCATTTATGTTTTCATTTATTGTATCAAACTCATATGTATAAAGTTTAATAAATAATAACAAAGGACTTGTAATGATAACTATAGTCCTTTTTAGTTCTTCCCACTCCCTGTCCTACTGTACACAAGTGACTACAGCTGACGTTGAACAACACAGATTTGGACTGTGTTGGTCCACTTATACTCATATTTTTCTCAGTAAGTACATGCAGTGCCACACGATCAAGCCACTGGTTGGATCTTCAGATTCCAGACCATGGATACAGAGGCCCAACTGTGCAGCTTGAGCCTCCACAGGTTTTGGTATCTGAGCTTCCACAGGTTTTGGTATCTGAAGCAGGTCCTGGAACCAGTCCCTCTCAGATACCAAGCGAGGACTGAATTTGTCAATCTGTTTTGAGTTTTTCTGGTTGATACCTCCACATTTCTAAATAACATACCTATACTACTATTATTATAATCAACTCGACATTATTAATTAATTTATTGTTGTGATAGAAGATTAATCTCACTAACATATATCCCTACCTTCCTTCATCTCCTACATCTTTAGTTATATGACTATTTTTAGTTTCTCTTCGAAATTTTTTCACTCTAATATACTTTATTTTTAACTCTTTTTATTATAGTGATAACAAGTATATTTTGTCTCCTCCTCCCACTGCAATATCTCTGTCCTTAAACATTCTGTAAAGATATCCTTACAGTCTACAACTTTGTTTAAAAAATTTTTTTTATTACAGAGACATCAATCCTCATATTCCTCAGTATATTTCTTCAGTGCCATGGTATATTGATCCATCAAAAAGGCCTACTTTAAAGCACCAGAGACCACAGCCAGAGAAACAAAAGCAATACAGCTCATCAGGAGAATGGTACAAGAGGGGTGTAAAAGAGGTAGGTATGCAGCCTGTATATATGTGTGTAGAAATGGAGATTGTTAAGAACTTAATATAAGAACATCTAATGTAATACTATATAAAGTATAAACAGATTACATGACCTTTTATCTGCTATTAAAATTCACAATACCTACTACTTTAGTTTCTATATTTTATAAACTTGATATTGCTAAAGTCTTTAAGCGTTCTCATTTATAACTGGTTTTCCTCTTAACAAGTCATTTCATTAGACAGTACAGTAATGAGAGCCAAAGTTATTCTTATTTAGATAAATAAAAATTTTCTTTGGTTTTCTTTATATCCGCTTATAGAATTCCATAACTACTAAATACCGAAAAGGAGCGTGTGAAAACTGTGGAGCCATGACACACAAAAAGAAAGACTGTTTTGAGGTAAGCTCACCTTTGAGAATTTTTGAAACTGCTGTCAGAGAGTCTCTTTCTTTATTTGTGTCAGAGAACTTAATTCTGTTTTCTAAATTACCTATATTTAGGTACAAGTTAAATGAAAACATTAACTTGAATGAAATTAGTTCAGCACCGTCAAAATTTTTTGCAGGAGGACTTAACTGATAATTGAATAAACCATAAAGTCCCATGGTATGTTCACACTGCTCTGTAAAGGTTATATGAAATTTCCTCATGGCTTCAAATACTTAGAGGAAAAATTTAATCTTACTCTGTTTTCCAGAGACCTAGGCGAGTTGGAGCAAAATTTACAGGGACTAATATAGCCCCAGATGAACATGTCCAGCCTCAGCTGATGTTTGACTACGATGGGAAGAGGGATCGGTGGAATGGCTACAATCCAGAAGAACACATGAAAATTGTAGAAGAGTATGCCAAAGTTGACCTGGTGAGCACAGTTCACTGCTTCCCTGCTGTCCTTAAAGAATGTATATTTTGGTATATCTCTAGCTTCGCAGCTCTGTTTTTTGTCTTTATGCAGTATAAAAATGATTGCATTTTTATTGTAGTAGTAGTAAGCCTAATTGAATAGTGAAATAAACAGTATACTAACCCTATTTGGCAGCAGTTTCTTTTTACTTTATTCTCATATTGTCCATTACTCCCTGATTTAGTTTGCAGGAAATACTGGAAGCATGAGAATAGATTAGTCTTCAAAACTTTTGGCTTCCTGAGGTTATAAACTCTTGGCTCCCAGACTCTATCTTGCTTGTGGACCTGTTTTATAGTTGTCTCACATACCATTTGAGGGTAGGGAAAGAAGAATAGGATAACTCCTTTCAGGAAACTGAATTTTATTTTAATTTAACCTCAGTTTTTTCTGTTATGATTTCACCTACTCACTCCCATTTTTTAAAAAACATAGTCACTGCTGTTTTTTGGTTTTGTGTTCCTTTTTTTTTTTAAGTAGAGTTAACATTTAAGACCATGGGATTTCACATTTTAATAAAATCTGAATTTTATCTTTTCTCAAACAATGAAATATGTGGTAAGAGTAATCCTGGGCCAGCCGAGAAGAGTCAGTCATCTGGAGTTAAGTGGCTCCTTGTCAGCAAGGCTTGCTGTCTGCAGTTTATCCCTGGTTCTATCTAGCTTAGTTTATATTAATGCCTGACTCAAACAGGAGTTTGTAACTTCTGCTTAAATATGGCCAATTGGATCTGACTTATTTTCATTTTGGGTTTTTTTTTTAATTTATTTTTTATTAAATGAAAGATTCTTTAAATTCTACAGTGCTTTACAATTTTCAAAAGTTTCACACACACGATTTCATATAATCCCATAATAACCCCCCTTTTATTAATCTCCTGCCTGCCTATTGCCCCTCCCCTTTTCTTCTACCAACTGGTAGCTACTAGTTTGTTCTCTGTTATCTATGAATCTGTTTCTTTCTTGTTTTATTCAGTAGTTTGTTGTAGTTTTTAGATTCCACACAGTACTTTCTTTCTCTGACCAATTTCACTTAGTATAATGCCCTCCAAGTCCATCCATGTTGCTGCAAATGACAAAATTTCATTCTTTTTTATAGCTAAGTAGTATTCCATTGTGTACCACATCTTCTTTATTCATTCATCTGTTTTTTTAAATTAACTTTTATTATAATATTGTTGCTTTACAATGTTTTGTTAGTTTCTGCTATACAACAAAGTGAATCAGTTGCATATATATGTACATACATCCTTTTTTAGGTCACTATAGTGTTGAGTAGTTTGGGGCATTTTTTGTTTGTTTTTTGGCTGCCCTATGTAGCTTGTGGAATCTTAGTTCCCCAACCAGGGATCAAACCTGGGCCCTTGACAGTGAAAGCATGGAGTCCTAACCATTTGACTGCAAGGAAATTCCCTATAACTCGTGTTCTTCAGGAGCCAGAGGTCTAGAGCTACAAGACAACCTTGTCCAGTGACCTTTTCTGAAAACAGTAAACTTATGCATTTAACTCATATAAAAATTAAATCTTCGTTTGATGGGACTTCCTGGTGGTCCATTGGCCAGAACTCCATACTCCCAGTGCTGGGGGCTGGGGTTCATTACCTGGTCAGGGAACTAGATCCCACATGCTACAATTAAGGGTTTGCATGCCACAACTAAGACCCAATACAGCCAAATAAATAAATGAAAATAAATATATTAAAAAACTAAATGCTCATTTGAATATTGAAAGTAAATTTCAAATGTTTCTTTTTCCTTAGGCAAAACGAACGCTGAAAGCCCAAAAACTCCAAGAAGAATTAGCCTCAGGAAAATTAGTGGAACAGGCTGTAAGTAATACAATGATCGTTAAAAAATTTCAGATTCTTAGTAAACAAAAAATGAAGATTGACACAAAATTTCATTTTATATCTCTCCAGTTAGAAGAAACTTGAGAGAGAAGAGAAGTGCTATCAAGGGGAAAGAGTAAAACTGACACATTAAAGGTTCAAGGGACTATAAATTGATGCAGTCATTTTGGAGAGAATATCGCCATAAAACATTTATATACCTTTTCTGGAATTAAATTAGTAGATCCATCCATCCTAAAAATGTTCTAGTATTCAGAAAAATCATTCTGCACAAAAATGTTCACTTCAACACTTTTTACAACAGTAAGAAATTGAAAATAGTTTAATAAGGAATTAGTGAAGTGAGCTAGCCTTCCCCTGCATGAGAGAATGTTGCATAACTCTTAAAATGGCTTTCATCAAAGCTTAGTAACAACACCGGATAACACATATTTTAATGACACATGTAAAATATCATATTACCTCACAGGGAAGACGACTAGAACACTAGTTCTCATTTAACATAGAAATTAAAACACTAATTCTCATTTAGTATAGAATTAGTGAATTTTTCTTTTTACTTATTTTAGCATTTCCTACACTTTGAACATGTAAGGCAAAAAGAATTTTCAAACTGGAAAAAAAAAGGATGTATTGCAGACAGTGTTTTTCCTATTTTTTTTCCCCAGTCAATTTAATAGTTAAGTTATGCTTATTAGAGTTGTGAAAGTTTCTTTTTAACAAATTTATGGTGTAAGTAAAAAACATTTTCGAGTTACCAAGTTTAAATTTCTAAAAGGGACCCTTAATAAGTGAAGTCTCTCAGTCGTGTCCGACTCTTTGCAACCCCATGGACTGTAGCCTACGAGGCTCCTCTGTCCATGGCATTTTCCAGGCACGAGTACTGGAGTGAGTTGCCATTTCCTTCTCCAGAAAGGGACGCTTAGCAAGTATAATTACAAAGCAGACAGAACTAGGTAAGTTAATTACCAAGTGAGCAGTCACAGAGGCAGGTTCAAAGCACAAGTTAACAGAGAGATGATGATAAAATCCACCTGTGCCCCTAGCTAGCAAGATGGTCCTGGAAAAATTAATTTGCTTCTCTGAGCCTCAGTTCATCATCTCTAAAGCAGAGATAACGACACCTACCCAACCCCTACCCCAACACACACACACACACACATACACACTAGGCTTAGCATACATATCACACAGTAAACACTTGGTAATTGGTAGCTAGTGTCATGATTGTTAATCATTACCAACTCTGGAAGAAAGAAGAGAAAGAAAATTTATTTTCCTAGTAAGCATATTTAAATGTTTGTAAGGGACTGGTGTGTTTTGCCCATTTGGATGTGAAGATTAACTGCATACATTAGGATTGTGTCTATTATAAAGATTTAGCAATATAAATATCCTTTGTTGAGCTAGCAACTTGCAAGAACTCAAAAAAATTCTTAAAAAAAATTTCCAGTTTTGAAAGTAACACATACTCAGAAAAAACATATAGAAAATTATAAAGAAAAATATTCCTTATGTTAACCATTTACATTTAAAGTAGGCCTTTTAGTGTCCCAGTTCACTCCCTCACATATATCCATGTATGTGTATGATTATAATACAACATGTTTTTTAAATGGATTCATCTTTACATTCTCGTTTATCATCTACTTTTTCAACTAAATAATATACAGTGCAATGAGGACTTGTTTTCTGTATCATTAAATGTAGACCTGTAACATTTATTTTTATATAAATTCACATGGTTCAATAATCAAAATTAATTTAAGACAGATGTGCATTGAAAAGTCTCCCACTCCTGCCTCAGTCCATCCTATCTCTAAACCTCACCCCCCATAATTTTTCTTTTTCTTACAGAACCTTTCAGAGTTTCTTGTGTAAATACAAACAAATACAAATATATAATCTTATTCCCATCTTTCCCTCTTATTTTTCCCAAACAAAAAAGGTAGCAAAGTATGAAAAGTAAAAAAGAAAAGTGAAAATGTTAGTCACTCAGTTGTGGCTGACTCTTTGTGACCCATTGGACTGAAACCCAGCAGGCTCCTCTGTCCATGGAATTCTCCAAACAAGAATCCTGGAGTGGGTAGCCATTCCCTTCTCCAGGAGATCTTCCTAACCCAGTTATGGAACCTGGGTCTCCTACATTAAAGGCAGATTCTTTACCGTCTCACCCACTAGGGAGCCCAAAGTATACATATTAATATTTTTCTGCACCTTGGACAAATCACTTTAATGGTTGTTCACTGTTTATTGAGTGCAGTAATTTATATAACCATTCATCTCTTGCTGATTTGTTTTTTTCCCAGTTATCTGTACAGTAGTACACAACATTAGCGTCTTACATAACATATACATCTTTATATGATAGGCATACTAATTTCCTTACAGTAAATTCCTAAAAGTGCAATTGTTGATGCACTGAATATGTATATATAAAATCTGATGACTTATCACTTATAGCAAGCATTTTAAAAGGCTATACTAAAATTTTTGCTTCCACCAATATACTATATATATATGTGTGTGTGTGTATATATATATATATATATATATATATATATTTATACATACATATTTCCACATCCCCCTACTGAGCTATAAGATACTCTTTTTAACTTGTGAAGCCTTTTAAAGGGACATAATGAAATACTGAGCACTTTGTTCCAGGCATTTTGCAGAGTTAGAGAATATCCTGACCAACTGCTAATTAAGAAAGGGTATCTTTGAGGCATGGAGTTCACACCCTCCTTAAATCACAGTATGTTGTCACCTGAGTAGATTTCTTCATTGCCAAAATTTTACAAAGGCTGTTTTGGCTCTAGAGATACTTACTACATGATCCTGATAACTTTCCTTTTTGGCCTTAATAGAAAAACAGTGAAATTTAATGAAAATGTTATGTCTGAAGATACACATGTATGAAATGAATATTTATTAGGTATACTGATCAACTTAATCTTTCTATTACATTTTTATGCTTATAATCATCAAGATTATATCATCAGTGAAAATTTTGGATTTGTAGACAGTGATAAAATTATTCACAATAACATACTTGTGTTTAAAACTTATGTGCTCACTACAGGTGAGAAATATGAGAATTTTTTCAGTTAAATTTATTATTTTAACTATGTTTTTAAAAGTGTTAAATAATCATTTGATTCAGTATAATAAAATCACAATTTCATTTTCTTCTTTTGTGGCATAGAATTCTCCGAAACATCAGTGGGGAGAAGAGGAACCGAATTCTCAGACGGTAATACATACAGATCCTATCAGTGTATACATTAAGGTTTAAATTTCTGATGGCTAATGTTAGTAGTAACTCATGATAATAATAATAGGCTTAAAGAATACAAGGAATAAGGGTTGGGTTAAAGGGAAAATAAGAACTAGATACTGCTCTTTTTTTCTTAAAAAATTTTCCTCTTCTCTCTTCCTCTTTCAGGAAAAAGATCATAACAGTGAAGATGAGGATGAAGATAAATATGCAGATGATATTGACATGCCTGGACAGAATTTTGACTCTAAGAGACGAATTACTGTCCGGAATCTCAGGATTCGAGAAGATATTGCAAAAGTAAGCCTGGCCAACTTAACATACATATTCAGAAAACATTTGTCTTCCCAACCTAAATTTTGTCTACTCGCATGGTATCTGGATAATATATGGGTAATATACTCAGTCATTCCAAAGTATATCATTCTGGATTTCTTTCTCTTCAGCTGTACCCCCAGACATGCACACACATACACACACATAATTGTCTCCTCCTACTACTCTGCTAAAATCTTTGATGAAAGTAAACATTAACAAGTCTTAAAACATTTTTTCTTTCTAGTATTTGCGGAATTTAGATCCAAATTCTGCTTACTATGATCCCAAAACTAGAGCGATGAGAGAGAATCCCTACGCAAATGCTGGAAAGAATCCAGATGAGTAAGTAACAAGTTCACTGTAAAGATTTCAGAGTAGGGACGGGAGTTTTTATTAATAAAATGCAATCTGAATTAAAATGAGTATCATCTATGGTTGGGTCAGAAAAAAATTTCCTTAAATTAATCTCTGAAACAGTTTTTGTTTTGTTCTCTTTAAACAGAGTCAGCTACGCGGGGGATAACTTCGTTAGATACACAGGTGATACCATATCAATGGCCCAGACACAATGTAAGTGTTTCCTCTATGTCAAGGTATTTTATGCCAGCTCATAAGAAATTTGGGGGCATTTTTTTAAAGCTTGTTTTCAAGAAGCCTGAAAACAATGTAGCTGACAACTCATTACGATGGTTTTAATTACCCTAGTGTTTGCTTGGGAAGCCTATGACAAAGGGTCTGAAGTGCATCTACAAGCAGATCCTACAAAACTAGAGTTATTGTATAAGTCCTTCAAAGTCAAGAAAGAAGACTTCAAAGAACAGCAGAAAGAAAGCATCCTGGAAAAGGTAATTGTGACCAAACGATACACAGTCCATTTTAATCCATTGGGATTAGGTGCAGTTGGTATACAGTATCAGTATAACTGTATCAGTGAGCTTTTATAGCAAAACAAGCCACCTCAAAACCTAATAGTTAGAACAGATATTTCTTATTTCTTACCGTTTTGTACATCAGCTGGGTCTCCTGTTCTGAGCCTGCCTATCTGAAACCAGATGATCTAGAATGGCCTCCCTTTGGTTTCTAGCAGGTAGCAGGCCTCCTCTGTCCCATGGAGGCCTCACCTCTACCCAACGTGGGTTCTTGTCCTCTGATAGGCTAGCCCAGCTTCTTTACATGACATTCTCAGGATACCAGAGATTAGCAACAAAGTGTGCCCTGGTGCACAAGTGTTTTTCAGGTCTTTGCTTATATCATATTTGCCAATATTCCAGGGGCCAGAACAAACAGCATGGCCAGGCCCAGATCCAAGGGATAAAGCAGCAAAATCATGTGGCAAGTGGGCATGCACACAGGATAAGGGGAATTTTTTATGAGCATTTTGTAATTCACCACACTCAACAGATGAATAGCAATTGAGACATCTTTTATTTGCCTATTAAGTTTTATGGCTTTTTTTTCCCACTGTGTTTTATGTAACAAAGCCCGTGAAGATTAGTCCTCTAATCTTTGTGATTGGAAATAAACCCCTCAGTAAAGATTTGAATGCAAATCTTTGTAAAATATATTTAATAATGTTCAATGTTCTTTTAGTATGGTGGTCAAGAACACTTGGATGCTCCTCCAGCTGAATTGCTTTTAGCTCAGACTGAAGACTATGTGGAGTACTCCAGACATGGGACAGTCATCAAAGGACAGGAGCGGGCTGTTGCCTGCTCCAAGTATGAGGAAGATGTGAAGATCAACAATCATACAGTATGTGTTGAACTAGAATTATATTGTGTCCTTGTTAGCATTTTGCTCTGCATTATATTTTTCATTAATAAATCATTGTTGTATTTTGGTTTTTTGTATTTTAACTTTCTTATTTTTAACAATTTTTAAAGGTTATATTCCATTTACAGTTTTTACAAGATATTGGCTATATTCCCTGCATTGTACAGTGCATCCTTGTAGCCTCTCTTACACCCAGTAGTTTGTAGCTTCCACTCTCCAATCCCTGTACCTCCTCTCCGCTCCGCCCCATTGTTAACCACTAGTTTGATCTGTGAGTCTGCTTCTTTTTTTTTGTATTTACTAGTTTTATTTTTGTATGCACTAGTTTGTTGTATTTGTTTAGATTCCACATGTAATTGATAGCATATAGTATTTGTCTTTGACTTATTTCGCTAAGCATAATGCCCCTTCAGTTCCATCCATGTTGCTGCAAATGGTAGAATTTTATTCTTTTTATGGCTGAGTAGTATTCCATTGTACACCACATCTTTATGATTCATCTGTGTTTTAATTAATTTTTATTGTAATATTGTTGCTTTATTCCGTGTATTTCCTATAAACAGGAATTCAGATACAAAGGCTTGATATAAGTTAAATATTTTGACAGAAACACTTCATAGATGACAAAGTATATGTCATATTGCATATTGTATCACATGATAAAGCTTATTTAATTTGCTGTACTTTTATAGTCCCCAGACTACACTTGTCTTTCTAAGTAAGAGTCAAAAACCTAGCTACCAAATAGGAACCAGGCCAGTAATCACGTATGAGTGAAATGAGCCAGGCAGATTTTACAGACTAGAGAACACGAACCCTGTCTAAAAGGAGCATCCACTGGCCAGCAACAGGCAGTTGCTGACAAGTGTGAATGTGCCTAGAATTTCCCAGTCCTTCTGAATTTTTCAAGAGAAGTCAAGTAGCCTAATTTTTTTAATTTTGGGGGGGAGAGTGAGAATAGAATGTAAGATTATTGTAACCACACACTCTGCCTGTTAAGCCAACCCTGGAGTCCCCATAATTTTCACTTTTTATCACCAGCATGTGAGACTAACCCAACAAGGACCTACTATATAGCACAGGGGACTGTACTCGATATTTTTTAATAATCTATGAGAGAAAAGAATCTGAAAGAGGAAAAATAAAATATATCTATGTATATATTCTGTGCTGTACACCTGAAACTAACACGACATGGTAAATCACCTCTACTTGAGGTTTTTAAAATAATATGATTAATTAAAGATAGGATTTTTTTTACAAAGAAAAACAGTATATGAGAAACCTATTTCAGGCTCCTTTTAAAATAACCTCTCTCTCTCTCTGCAGCATATCTGGGGATCTTACTGGAAAGAAGGCCGATGGGGATACAAATGCTGTCACTCTTTTTTCAAGTATTCCTATTGTACTGGAGAAGCTGGGAAGGAGATTGTTGTAAGTAATTGTCCTCTAGTTCGTAAAAACAGCCAAAGCTCTTAGATCAAAAATCTGTATGAAACATATATTTTTATGTTTCAAATTTAACTTTTTCTTAGACACTCGTTAGATTACATATATTTTTCCACAGAATTCAGAGGAGTGTATTATAAATGATGCAACTGGAGAAGAATCTGTGAAAAAACCTCAAACCCTCATGGAGGTATGTCCATGATCAGTTGTCCTGAGTTTTTAAGTCTTAAAGGGAAGACTTTAAAACTTGCACTAGAACTTTGGTTTTGCATTAATAACACTATGTAAATCCTCAGATGCATCAGGAGAAACTAAAAGAGGAGAAAAAGAAGAAGAAGAAGAGGAAGCATCGGAAGAGCAGTTCAGAGAGTGATGAGGAGGAAAAGAAACACGAGAAGTTGAAAAAGGTACTTTGTGAAAGCTAAATAAATAGTAAAAGTGACCACAGTCGTCTTTATTTGTAGGAATCTTAGAAAATTATCTTGTCTTATTCCCAAGCTCATTTTAAAAATGAGCAAACAAACCCTAAGACTGGGTGATTTGCTTGGGTCACCTATCAGGTCTAGAATACAAATGGAGATTTTGTATGTCTCCATATTGCCTGCCTTTTGAACTTTTGTTGAATATCACTAATGCACAGAAGAAAAATGGTTGGTATAGCTGTTATTTTAGAGTTATTGACATGTTCCCCAGAGAGAATTGCCATCTAGCTCTATAATTTTCAGCAATAAGTTTTAGCAAGTCTTGGGAAAAGTCAGAATTGTATTCCCACCAAAAGCATCAGTTGCCGGCTTCTGTCAGTAAAATGAATCTCATTCAGTTTTTGTTGTTAAATAAAATTTCTTTAACATTGAAAATGTCATAGAATGTTTTGTGCTCTGTGAAAATTTTTGAGCCAAATAATGATTAGTTGTAGCTTGACAGCGATAGAGCTGACTCCCAAGCTGAGGCAATCTAGGTTTTTGATGTAACAGTTCATAGTCAGTGGGATCTTTTGGTACTCTGCCACTTCTGAACCAAAGGGATCTGACTCGGAGCCATGGTACTCATGTATTTCTTCTCACTATAGGCACTGAATGCAGAGGAGGCCCGTCTTCTTCACGTCAAGGAGATCATGCAGATCGATGAGAGGAAGCGACCTTACAACAGCATATATGAAACTCGGGAACCCACTGAAGAGGAAATGGAGGCCTACAGAATGAAACGTCAGAGGCCAGATGACCCCATGGCCTCCTTCCTCGGACAGTAGTAACTCATCACTGACGGTGACCCAAGATAGACTCTGCTAATGCATTCTTTTAGATTCTTGCTGTTGATTATCGATGGAAAACCCCATATCTATTCTCATTAAAGTCAGGAAGCAAGGAGACTGCCTAATAAAGCATCCAAAAGTCTCATAGTAAATTCATTCCTTTACACAGTGAAGAACAAAGAAGAAGAAATAAAGTGGTACATTAAGTGCAGATTAAGATTTTATTTCAGATTTTATATTAGTGATGTGGGAAAAGATCTTAGTTCTCCACCTATCATGAATATCTTCTCAACATTTATTTATTAAGTTTCAAACTTTATTTCCTCAATTTTTATGGCCCTTTATCTAGTGTTAGGACTCATTGTGAAGGCCAATTAGTTACTCTTTCTTGAAACAAGGGCTTCATTTTTTTTTTTAGTTAATAGTAACTATAACTGTAGTTATTTAATAATCATTTCTTTTTGCCTTCTCATATTTTTCTGATCTGAAACTGATAACCTATCTTGAGCTTTGGATTACTGGAAGGAAATCTGTAGAACGTGTGAATAACTTTATCCTTGATGTCAAGTCTGTGTAGTAAAAATTCTGTTTCCCACTTGGCTATAAAATTTTGATTTTCAAAACATTTCCTTGTATCTTATACTCAGAACTAAATGTATTAGCCTTTGAATGGGGAAAAAAGGTTTTCACCCTGAGTCAGTGTTGACTGATCAGTCCTAGGTGTTTTACCATTCTGGACAGGAGTATTCAGATACAGAAATCCTCTCCTTTGTCACAGAGGATATGGTTTGTGATACTAATTGCTATTTTAATTGTGATTGCCTTTCTATAACAGTCAAGAATATTAGATTTTTAAAAGATTGTAGAGTATCTCTTGTACCTAATCTTTATAGCCAGCAGGTGTCTCTCGGTAAAATTTGCAAAAAGTGAAACCTGAGGTTGAAGGTTTCTTCAGAATATTACAAGCAGAGCCTGTAGGGCTATTAGTATCTGAGAATGACATGATTTTTAAGCTTCTTCTAATAACATTGGGAAGATAACGCTGACAGAGTGGGATCGGTGAAAACAATCTGTTTAAAACCCCTGACGCAAGTACATTGACTTTTAACAGTTCACTGGCTTTTCCGAACTACCAAATCCCACTTGAATATTGCATTAAGTTAACATCTCAGAAATACTGCTGATGGGAAAGTTAACTGAATCAAACTGTCAAGTACTGTGGATATACATTGTATCTAAATTCAGACCAGTATGAAATTAAAAGTGATGCAAACAAATCTAATTCTTACCTACTTTAAGAATGTCAAAAATTTATGTTTTCATATTCCTACCTTAACATAGGCTGGTTCAGTGTAAAATCTGATATTATTGTCTACTTTGTATTTTATTTATCTTTTGTTAATAAAGATATATAATTGAAAATATTTAACTGTGAGTGGTTTGCAGCATTATTTCAAATATTTGGCAGAAAAATAGTTTATAGGACTGGCAGGAAGGCTGAGTTACCTTCTGTACCTTTGAGTTAGAAAATTTCAGGACACTTTAATTCAAAAAAATGTATCACCTAACATTTCTGGGCTTCTGTTTTCTCTTGTGAAAGCTAATTTATGCTGATTTTAGGAAGAATTCTATAATATCTGAAATCATGTCTTATTTCTGTTTCATTTTGGATAAACGGTAACATCTAGAACATTACTCAAGATACGAGCTTTGATTTTATTATATCAGTTATAGATGACTTGAGTGCTGGAACTATGTGCTATAGTTTGCACATGTTACCCCTCAGAAGACTTAAATGGGTGAGTAATAGGATGATATCCATATTTCACAATAAGCATAAGGACTCAATGAGTCCAGGTAGCTTGCTCAGGTCCTAACAGTAAAAGTTTGGGGTCAGGACGTAAACCAAAGTCTTTGACTCTAAAGCCTATTCCTTTCTCTAACATTTAAGGCCCAGATTTTGGACCATGAAGGGTGGTCTTTTGCAATTTCTCATTGACAGAAACCATAGGCAGGTTCTTGGTGTTTTTATCAGGTTCACCCTCAATACCTGAAAATGAGGTATCTGTCCCACATTCTTTGACTCTTCTCCCTCCCCTAGGCTTGTAGGATGCTTCTCACAAGACTGACTATACAAAAATGAATAAAATGTGATTTCATTAAAAACCCTTAAAATAGGAAAGAGGACTGTATTTAGGTTTGTTTCATTCAACATTTTCTAGTTTCTACTTTAGAGTTTTTCTCTAAAATCTGATATGGGTTGATTTCTCTAAACGTCTTGTTTAAAAGAATCTTAAAAGCCATTTCTCTAAGATGGATGATGATTCTTAGCAAATTCACCCACACGCTCTAATTAATGGGGAGATGAGGGCAAACAGCATGGGCAAGAGCACACAAGACCATCCTCTCCCGTTTTACCTTGACAGAATTTACAGCTTGTCTCATTTGCCTGGATGTTTAATTTGGAAGTAGAATGAACTTCCTTCTCTTCTTCCTCATTGATTCCACACAGAAAATGGTTAATTATTGTAGCTTCATAATCGCCAAGATCAAAGCCTGACAATATAAAATTTTATTTCTAGTGCTCTGAATGTTAAAAAGTAGAACTATGTGGGTTTACAGTGCCTTTCGTCCCTGAGATCTTACGACGCATCTTTGCATACACAACATGCAGAAAATTCCCAGCTCCACGTCCACAACCCCACAGCCCGAAAAGAGAACCAGCGCGCGTGCTCCCTCCTGGCGGCGGTGGCGGGGCCCCTAGCCGTTTGCCAGTGCGCCTGCGTGCGGGGATTCGCCTCGCCCTGTCTGCGGGCGGGAAGGCTCCAAGAGAACCCGGATGGAGCCCGGCGCGGCGGGAGCGGGGGACGTTGCGGGAGCGGGGGACGTTGCGGGCGCAGCTATCACACCGCGCCCCGCAGGCTCCGGCTCCGGGGTCGCACCCGAGGAGCCGCCGCCTAGACTGGTTCCAGCGCCCGGAGGCTGAGCCCCAGCCTGAACGGAGAGGGAAGTGGAACCCGAAACGGGCGCCTAAAAGAAGTCCGAGCATCCCTTGGGCCTGCGCCGATGTCTCGGAGCCGTCGGCTGGAGACCGAGCAGTCTTCTTCCCGCGCCACCGGCGTCCTTAGCTCGCCCGGGCAGCCTCCTAAATGCTCCGTCCTTTATAATACACCAACAAGCCTTGCCAGTTACAAGCCCATGTCGTTTACATGCACGCTCATAATTAAACCTCCCAGCAACCCTATAAGGTAGGTACTATTGTCATCCCCAGTTGAGGGATTGAAGCTTGGACAGGTCCCAGCCTCTAAGTGACAAAGCCAGCATCCCAGGCGTTTGCCTCTGGAGCATTTGCTCGGCTATTGCTTTTCCTTCTCTCCTGGCTTTTGCTTTTAATAACGTAAAGATAGTGAATTTTCAACCCTCTGCCTCCCTGGATACCTGCACCTACCATGGACTGGCATAGGCAGAGGACAGATAGAAGTTTGATTGTGTTTTGTTTGGTATTTAAGGTTTACTGCTGCACTTTGCATGTTGTCACTGCTGAAATAGATGTTTTAGCCTTCCCCGGGTATTTCTGTTATATGAATGTTTACTTGTAACTGACTGATTTTTCTCTCAATTGTGATTCTGTTTCATATTTACCCTTCATAAACTTGCAAAACATTTTACTCTGTTGTATCTGTTCTTTCATTCTGCATCTTCAGATGGCTTTCAAAATTTCTCAAAAAAAAACTTTCAGAAAACTAATTATGTCTATCTTAGTAAGTAAGCCTTTTTGTTTATTTTACTGTTTATTATGGGAAATTTCCAGCATACATAGAGTGAGTACGGTGTAATGATGTGTGCCCATCACCCAGCCAACTCAAGACCAGTCCTGTTCTATTTCTACCCCCATTGTATGTGTGTGCTAAAGTACTGTATTTCAGAGAGCCCAGACATCATTCCACCAGTAAATAATTAAGTCTGTGTTTCTAATAATGAAAACTTTTTAAAAACACAACCATACCATTATCACACTGTTTCAGTTAATAATAATTCCTTAATAAGTTGATGCTTTTTTTAATGTTTACATATTTTAGGGTATTGTGATTGCTAAATACCACAAAGGAACAAGTGAGAATTGTGAGATTCTATAACACAAGAAAGCCTCTTGGGCGGTAAGTTCATCTTTGAGGATCTTAAAACTTCTTGCTACCTAGTCTCCCTTTTTGAGGGGGAGGGAGAAGAATTTTTCTAAAAATTCTCTTGTTCCAAACAGGTAAATCTTCAATCAAAATATATGTGAGTAGCATAGAATGGATAGGAATGTACTCTTAACTCATTCTATAATTTCTGTTTGGAAGTCATTAGAAGTAAACCTGAAGTAAAGAAAATCATTTGAAATAAAGCTTTCTCCTTCGCTTTCTCTGTACTCCCAAAATATACATAACAGTATACAGAAAGATAAGCATTTTTCTATGTTCATCTCATAATGCTGTTATCAGCTAGGAGAGGTTCTAAACAGTCTGCCCATGGTCTCCTCACTTGACAAAGCTTAAGATCAACTCTAAATTGTCTTTACCGACTGGCAGACATCTTTCAATTTTCAACTGGTCGATAGCAACCATATGGCAAATCAATTTACTAGTTACATAGAAGTATGTTTTACAACTAGTTATTCTTGGCAGAGCCTCTAGCAAGCTAGGGCTTTAAGTAAATATTGTGGGCTTGCTTCCTGTGATTTTTTTTATGGCTAAAGTGGGTATTTGGATTTCAATGTACCCCTGTTACATTATTTCAGCCACATTCTGTGGCACAGAACTTTGGGAATCATTTATATGGGAGATAGAATTGTTTTCTAAGGTATATTTGAGCCTACATGTGGGTTGTACCATTACTCATTGCTCAGGAGGGAGAAAGAGGAAAAAAACAAACAAACATATCTTTCTTTTTAGGTCCCTCAGCTTTCATAGGAAGTTGTCATCAACTCAGAAAAGGTAAATGGGTGTTAAAGCATT